GAAACTTATCAATTTTTCATATGCTATTTATTACGTTTTTATACAATATTATCTTAATAAAAAATTTTCTCATAAAGTGGACTTTCTAATCAAATAGACCCTATAAACTTATGATTCCGGCTTTGGATATTACTATCCATTATTTTGTTAAAGATAAATATTTTAATTGAAATGTTATTAGTTTATACATTATTTTTAAATAATTAATTATTATATTTAAAAATATTTATTTATAAACTAATATTAATTATTTATCAATAATTAACTATTTTTACCAATCAAATTGACTTACAAAATGGGCACCACTTATTGATAGATCCAGCCCTTAGAATTTTTTAATTGATTTAAATTTAAGTGCATATCAATTTTTTTAAAATTAATATAATTAAGGGATGAAAAATAAAACAATTAAAACTTAAATCTTAAAATTTTAAATGCTATTATCCTTCTCAAAATTTAAATCTTAAACCTTTTAATATTATCAAGTTCCTAACAAAAATTACAGCATATCTAATTAGGTAAGAGCCCTAAGGTGTTTTATAATAATATTTTTAGTGAAAATAAAAAATTTTAACATTAACTACGTATGAGTGAGATGAATTAAAATAGAGCCGTGGTAGTAGCCCTCGCTTCCGCACTCTCTAGCCAACACCTGCCCATATGTTTTGCCCCATTAACCCCCATTTTAAGAGAATGGGTAGGCACTGGTTGTGGAATGCTTGACCAAACATCAAATCGTACCCAAACAGAATCTAATGACATTTCTTTCTTCGACGACCTCTTTTATGTCAGCAATTCTTTTACTACATATTTAACTAAGACGAACTGGAAGTTCATCGTCCTGCGTTTTTTAGGCAATACGTTTGTGGATTCTTCATAGAGGCTTTCACGGGGCTTAAAGGATTCGAGATTTGCCCTCCCTCTTGTCTTTTTCGTCACAGTTCAACTTGGGTTTTTTAGATCCGTGATTCTCAGCCTTCCTCTGATATTTTGATGTTTTATTAGCATCCTTCATTATACACGATTCAAATTTAGAGTGGTTTTATACATTTATAGTCTTAACTTCCTTTTCTGACATCATGTTTTGTGGATCTTCCCTCAATCACAGATTTGACAAGATTTCGAACCTCTTCAACATAAATCTTGACATATTTAAAGGTTTTAATTATCCCTCAACATCAAATCTGGTCACCGACCATCCACCTCTTTTCTTCTCCTTCTCCAACTTCAGATCTGGTCACCAGCCATCCAACAAACCTATTGAGGCTCAAAATTTCTTCTTCGGCTTTCTCTTTCTTACTTTCCTTTCTCCCCCCTTTTTGAAGTTCGAGTGTGGGCTAGATCCAATCAACAGTTGTTAGAAGGTGTTGCAGACTTGCAGGTGAGAATGGAAATAACGAAGAAAAAAAATGGGAAGAGAGGAAGAGAAAGTGCTAGATGAGGAAGAAGTAACAAGGAAAAAGAAACGAAAAAAATAGAGAGCTAAAAATTCTTTGTTTTATTAAAATGCATTTTTTTAAAACAAGATTACATTTTTTTTGGAAAGGGGATTAAAGATAAGGAATTTATAGAGTTTAAAATTAACTTACAGAGGTGATGCACTAATCCAGGTTAATATCATTGGTGAATGATCGTTTTATTAAAATACTTTTAGTTTAATCTAATAATCACTAATCTTAAGTTGTCGGTTCTCCTTTAAAAAAATTAAAGTTAACGTGGCAAAACTGATGGGCGGGTGTTGTTGGGAGAGTGCATGAGCCGAGTGCCCCTAGCGCTGCTCATTAAAATATTAGAGAGGCGGTATGCAATTGAACTGACGTGAAAGTTAACAGTGTCTTGGTTATATCACCTAAGTTTGTATCTCAAATCAATAAATTTTTGACATGTTTTTAATTGTGGGGTCATAAAACACATAGAATTAACATCGTTTTCCTACCTTCCTTCTTTCTTTCTTTAGGCCGTTTAGGGTTTAATCTTTCTTAAGTCACCCTTTTTCCCTTTCAGTTCACAGAGAGTAGATAATACCAGTGTCATACGATTCTTTTCATTGTTTGATTCTTATATATCATCAAAATTGAGATCGTTTTATCATGTGTACCATCAGCATCAATTAATGAAAGAAAGATTTTACAATTCTTCACCTTAAAATTCATTTGGGGGAGGGTGAGGCAAGGCTGAAACTTATAAACACATTATCACAAATTGTAAATTTAAACGCTTTGGCAATATACAAATTGTATAGACGAAGTGGGAATCTTCAATTTGCTTTTCATTTTTTTTTATCAATCCCGACTTTGTGTTGACAGTGCCTTCAGAATCCAAACCACCGCCCTTGTCATCTACCATCTTTCTTTCTCTGATTTTCCTAAACACCACCGTCCACTGTCGTTCATTTTCATCGCTTTTCAAAATCCAATTATTTTTTCCTTTCTCGAATTCCACAACCAATATTAATTGATGCTAATCATTATAAAAAAAAAAGGTTTCAAGCACAATCTCTCTAGTACCCTGTGGGAGGAGTAGAAAGAGACTCTACACTAAAAGAAGAAAAAAGAAAAAAAGAAATAGAAAAAGCTAACTAGAGAAGCAAGACAGACGGCCAAAAAAAGAAAGAAAAGACGTAGGAAACGACATTTGTCTTTAAAGCGTTACATGGTCGTACAATTTAACACGTGTCAAAATTGGTTTGCGTTACAGGCTACGTGATAGACCGGGACACTGTAGACTTTCTCTAGAGTGGACACTGGGCATAATCCTGTCTTCACAGTGCACAAG